CTTGGAGAGGGACATCATGCTTGGGAGGGTTGAGGGACAACGCAGGAGGGGAAGACCCTCTATGAGATGGATTGATTCGGTGACTGGGGTAATAGGGATGGGTGTGTCAGAGGCGGTGCGGTTGGCGCAGGATAGAGCAGGGTTTAGGGCTGTGGTGCATAGGGTTGCTATGAGTCTGAAACGACTCGACGGCACATAACAACAACAACAGCATTACTAGAAGGGCGCCAATTCTGGAGAAAGATACCTCTTGCAATGCTAGAGATCCAGCGAAAGAAAAGGAGACCTATAATGAGGTGGATTGAAGCATTGCCTACAACACAGCAGAGATGGTGAGGCTGGCCTAAGTGGGCGTGGTTTCATTGTGTTGTACACACGACAGGGCTGCTATGAGTTAGAGTCCGCTCCACAGCAACTAACAGCAACCTCAGTAAAATAATGTAAACACATGGGCAAAACTACCTTGGAACATTTTTCTAATTTGTTCCTTCCCCATTGAATCATTGTGGCAGGTGGAATAATGGTCCCTAAAAAATAGGGATTCTGAAACTTCGTCTGACATACTTTGGACATGTTGCAAGGAGGGACCGGTCCTTGAAGAAGGACGTCATGCTTCGATGGGTGGAGAGACAGTGCAGGAGAGGAAGACCCTCTATGAGGTGGATTGAGTCAGTGACTGGGGTAATGGGTGGGTGTGTCAGAGGCAGTGAGATTGGCAAAGGACAGAGCAGAGTTTAGGGGTGTTGTACATAGGGTTGCTATGAGTCACAAGGGACTCGATGGCACAAAAACAAAGAATAATTATCTTAATCAGGGTACCTGTAAACATGCTACCTTTCATGAAAAAAGGGATTTTGCAGGTGTGGTTGAGGCTATTGGGATGAGTGGTTATCCTGGATTATCCAGGTGATTCCAGTGTAATCACAAAGGTTCTTCTAAGAGGGAGGTTGGAGGGTGAGAGTAAGGAGGAAGAGAAGTGATGATGGAAGTAGAGATGAGACAGATGCACTTCCTGGAAAGGGCTACATGGCAAAGAATGGGTCACCTCTCAAAGCTGGGGGAAACGAGGAAACAGATTCTCCCCTAGAAACTAAGGAGCAGTTCCCAGCCAGCACCTTAATTTTCATCCATCTGACTTCCAAAACTGCAAAACAATAAAATAAAAGCCATCGTGGACTTTTGACATGCAAACTTGTGAGATAATAGTGACCGAGAGACCCTGGTTGCTGCTCACCAAAGTAGGATATAGAACGTGTCCTTGTGGGTTGGCTTACTGCGATTGACCTGGGTCCCCTGAGACTGCGCCCATGAGGCCCCAGGCCCGGCAGCTCATCCCCTCAAGGTGTTGGCTAATTACTAGGAAGTGTCCATCATTCTGCCCCCTCTGCTCTTCTGGAGAGAGCTCTGGTGGTGGTGTGGGCCATAGCAAATTTCACTGGTGGCCTAATGATCACGCATCTCGACCATTCAAACCCACCAAAAGCTCTGAGAGAGAAAGATGGACCTTCTCCTCCCATTACCCAATTTACAGCATCAAAAACCCAGTAGTTACTATTGAGTCACAACTAGCTAGAGTTGAGTTCTTCAATTGGTTTGTGTTGTTGTTTTCTCTCTATGAATTTATTAATATATTATTATAAATTCATATGAATTTATTTACAGGACATAAAGATGTTGTTACATGCTGCCGAGTTGTTTTCAGCTTATAGTGACCCTGTGTACAACAGCTTTGAACCCTGCTCTATCTTGAGCCAATTTAATTGTCTCCAACGCATCTACCCCCATTACCTCAGTTACTGAGTCAATCCATTCCATCCAGGGTTTTCCTCTCCTGCACTGTCCCTCCACCCGTCCAAGCATGATCTTCCCCAAAGACTATTCCCTCCTGGCAACATGTCCAAAGTATATGAGATGGCGCTTCAAAATCCTTGCCTCCAAGGAGCAACTTGGTTTCGCTATCTCTGGGACACACCTGTTTGTTAGCAGTCTATGCTATGTTCAATACTCTTCTCCAGCACAACTCAAAGGCATCGATTCTGTGGAAATAATTATCTGCCAAACCTTGTATTGTTTTGAGTGTAGTCTCCTCATTCTGTGCACTTTTTCATCTTGCCTGTCAGCCTATGTATCTAGATCGATTTCTGTTATTACTGAATATGCCAGGTTGTGCATGTAACAGTACTTGCCATTGTTGTCTGTAACTCTTGAGTACCCTTCTGTGTTCCTTTTATGTAGTTAGTACTTCTGTGTATTCCTGTTATGCGGCACTATTGTGCTCATCTCTCCCTATTTTATATTGCCTTTTCTGTCATCCACTTAAATGCAAGTCTCTTATCTAATTAGTGATGTTCCCTCCTCTGATCTCCCATCCCTGGTAACCATCAAGTATATTTCTGTGTGTAAACTTTTCTTTAACATTTTTTTTGTAAGCTCAATGATTTATTCATGATAAATATCTTTTATTAAACTACTAGCTCATTTACAAAATTCAAATACATTGTTTTTCACACCAGATCATTCCCATTTCCCTCATCCCTGCACCCATCAAATTGTACAACCCCCCATGGTTACTCCACACATACACATCCTCACACATCTGCTTCCATGACCCCCCCACTGGATCCTCATACACATTGTACAATAACAGTTTTATACCATATTTGTCCTTGTGGGACTGAGTTACTTCACTCAGCATAAAGCTCTTCAGTCCCTTATGTAGTGGATTCACACTTCGTTTTTCCCTTTGTAGTTGGCCTCTTTCACTCGGTAGAATGACCTCAAAGTCACATTGTGTTTCATAAGTTCTTCACTGTTTTTTAAGGTTACATGGTTTTAATATAATTTAGTTGTTGAGTCATTTATCAATTGATGGGCACTTGGGCTATTTCCACCTCTTTGCTGTTGTGAATAATACTGCAGTGAGCGTGGGTGTACACATTCATGTCCCAGCTTTCATTGCTTTACAGTATAGATCTAGTAGTGGGGTTGCTGACTCGTGTGGTGTTTCCACTGCTAACTTTGTAAGGAAGTGCCATGCCATTTTCCACAGTCATTACTCCTGTATACAGTCCCATCCACGCTGTACGTGAGTTCTGGCCTCTCCACACCACTTTCAGTGGTTCCAAACCTTAGCAATGTTGTGGCCAACAGAAGGAAGCCTTGCCCAATGTTGACTCATTCTCTGAGTTTGAGGCCATTCTTGAGAAGCGCTGTATCAGACAGCCTTCCCCTGGTATCCACAGGTTTTCAATTGCTCATGAAATACACTACCAGGTCCTTCCTCCCGCTCTTAGTCTGGAAGCTCCACGGAAACCTGTTCATTATGGGAGACCCTGCTGGTACATAAGGTACTAGTGACATAGCTTCCAGTATAAGTCACCACAAACTGACCAACAAGTGGTCAAAGTCAGAAGCAAGGGATTAAATTAGTAAGGATTGGTTTTGGATTTTCCTTTTGGAAAGATTTCTGGCTGCAAAGTAGACAGCAGGTTGAGGAATGTTCAGACAGTAAGCAATTGCTGTAACCCAGGGAAAAGGCAGTGGGGGTTGTGAGAGAGACTTAATGGAAGAGTCAATAGGTAGGTAAAGAATGAGAAACAACAGCTAGATTCCTGGATTGAGTCAGGATTTGGTCAGTGGTACCATTCACTGAGACAGTACTAAAGATTTAATGAGATGAAGTAATGAAAGAGAACCAGTTGAATTTCAGGGTAAACATCCACATGAACCATCATTGGGCAACTGAGTCTACATGCCTGGCTCAGAAGAGAGAGTTGAGCCAGAGATGCAAAGCAGTGGGGAGGCTGGGTTATTGGGATCTTAAATGCAGCCCGGGGGTTGGGTGAAGTTGCCAGAGGACAAGCGAAGGCTGATCCTGGAAAGACTCTCCATTCCAGGAGAAACCAACAAGTAGACCAGCTAAGCAATAGGAAACCAATCTGAAGATGACAGTAGACTCCTGGGCTGGGAACAGAGCAGTCAGTGAGCAAGACACAGCACAGAAGGTCAGCAGGATGAGGTGTGCATCTGTCTGGGTTGTAAGTTATATGGAGTCAGGTCATATGTGGCTTTACCATACGATGTAAGCAATTGACTTCCCACTCAAAGGAATTTCTGATAGAGGACTGTTGGTGGTGTAGAGTTTGATTTCATAGCTATAAATAGAATGTCATTTGAAGACTTTTGAAAGAAAGTATTAAATGTGCACATTTTTCACTATTGTCTAATTCAAATGCTTGAAATTAAAAAATTGTTAAAAGTTAAAACAATAACTTATAAAAATACTAAGTTTAAAGAACAGTGAGAAATTTTACTTACTGTTTAAATAAGATTATTAACGTAACTTTCAAAACATTAAATCAGTCTTTTTCAACCCTTTCCAGCTGGGCTGGTGTCACATGGGTATGTAATTCATCAGATTTGAGGCCCTCACTGAGCCATCTGTCCTTTGGGTCTCAAGAGCACTTAATCTGAAGACATCTGAGGAGGAGGAAATACAGGGACATGTATGAGGGGCCTGGCTCTGGAGAAAGATCCACACACGGCAGCCATGTGTCCCATCATCTTGTGGAGTGTTCTAAAAAAAGCCCAAGTATTTTCCTCACTCTATTAAAGCCATTATTTGCAATTTGCTCTTTTACAGAGATGACAACGAGACTATGCATTTTGGAAACATAATGTATGACAGAAGGGTGATCCGAGGCAACACTTACGCTCTGCAGATGTTACCATTGGTTAGTATTATTCAGATAGTCTTAAAACCAAACCCACTTAACCAAGCCCGTGACCACTGGGTTGATTTTGACTCATTGTGACCTTCCACTGGGTTTCTGAGACTGTAAATCTTGAAGAGAGAAGACTGCTTTTCTCTCCTGAGGGGAACAGCTAGTGAACTTGAACTGCCCCCCCTTCCAACTCTTTCTCTAGTTTGGTATCACTGAATACACAGTACACTCATTAGTGGTAAAGATCAGTTTGTGTGTTTCTTTCCTACAGACAAAAAACTGTTTAAAATACAATGAAGAGGAATGACAAGGTGAAGATGAAATAGAGTGGGAAGACACACAAAATAACAAAGCTCAACTTAGTTTAATTATGTCATTTAATATTTCATTACTGCCAAAATTGCTCTGAAAGTTTCCAAACTTTATCACCTGGGTTATGGACTTAAATTGTCACCAAGCTACGCTAGCAGTTCCTAGATGGCACATGTCAGATCCACACTGGAGCAGAACTGGAAGAAAACAGGACACCATTTCAAGTTTGTTAGAGCATCTCATACTCTATTACTGTGTCATCATGTAACCAGAAAGTCTTGATTTTATATCTTTCCTTTGACTCTGCAAGTATTTGCTGAGGTTTAGGCCCTCTGCTGAGTACCTAAAATACAGAGATGAATAAGACTTGATGTGATATCAAATGTGATGATTTCTTGGTACAGAAGCGGTATATATTTAGGTCAGCCTGTTCTTGTTGTTATGTACCTTTGGGTCAACTATTACTCACAGCAGTTCTATGAACAGCAGATCTGAGCCTTGCCCTGTTCCTTCCTGTACCGTCCTCACCATCTCTGATATGCTGAAGCCCAGTGTTAAAGTCACAGTGTCAATCCATCTCTTTGATAGTCCTCTTTCTCCTAGCCTCCACCTTTTCTAATACGATGTTTTCCTCCAAGGATTGGTCCCTCCTGACAATATCCCCAAAGTATGTGGGACCAAGTTTTACCCTTCCTGCATCTTAAGGAGCACCCTGATTTACACTTCCTACAAGGTGGACTCGTTCTTTTGGTAGACCATGGGATAATCAGTGCTTTTCACCAACACCACAACCCAAAGCAACTATTCTTCTTCTGTAAATATTATAAATATCAGCTTTTCAAAGGTTTAGGGTGTTAAATTCAGTAAGTTCGTTTTATATATATTCTATTCAAACTAAGTAATTCAGGGCCCAGTTAAATATAGTTTAAAAAAAAAAGTTTTAAAATATTTGCAGACTTACAGGAAGTTCTAAGAAAATACCTAGAATTCTGTGTACTCTTCTCTCCACAATGATGACATCTGATTTACAAAACCCAAATCAGGAAATCAACACTGACAAAACCTCTTACCAGATCTTTCTCGGTTTTCATAACTTTTACATGTATTCGTTTCTGGGTGTCTCTGTAAGAAATATACGAAACATGTAGCCATTGAGTTGATTCTATAAGACAAAACTATACAAAAAGGTACTAGTGTTTGCGGAAGCAGGCTGCCACAGCCACTGAGCGCTGCACACGGCAGGGCCCCTCACATGGCCACGCGGTTCTGTGCCAGCTTCACGGAGGCTTGTGTAGCCTTCACCACAAGGATGTTTGTGTTCGCACCCTGACTGCCCATCCCTGTGCCCCAGAAACCACTGTTCTGTTCTCTATCATTTTGTTTTGAATACTAAAGGAATCATACAGTATATCTGAGACATCCCCTCCACCACTAAACATGCATGATGCCCTAAGAGCCACCCAAGTTGGTGTATATATGTCAGTAGTTGGTTTTCATTGTCAAGTTGTGTGAAGATGCCAGAATTTAATCATTTACCTACTAGTTTACTTAATTATTAATGATGTTGAGCATCTTTTCCTGTTCTTAGTTGCTATCCTTATATTTTCTTAGGTGATATGACTGCTCGTGTCTTTTAATAGTTTTATAATTGGACTGTTTTTTTACTGTAGAGTTTTGGGAGTTCTTTATATAATCTCTGTATAAGACTTAGGTTAAATTAGAGTTTTACAAATATTTTCTTCTAGTCTAGCCTGTCTTTTCCACTGTGTTCACATGGTCTTCCACCACATAGAAGGTTTTTATTTTAAAATCCATTTATTTTTCCATAGATGTGCTTCCTTTGTCCTGTCTCAGAACCTTGGAACTCTTGGGGCCGAGTGGGTAAGGAATTGTGCTGCCAGCTCCATGAAAGATAGGTGGTGTCCTTCTGAATCCGACCTGCGGGTTCCACGTGTTCTCTGGAGAGAAAGAGCGCGAATGGAAGGGGCAAGAGAGGGAAATAGGTACCTGTGTAGGTCTGGCTGCCAGGGAACCCAGCCCTAGGCTATCAGTTTACAATAGAGAGGGAGGGGCATGCCCCAAGGTGTTGAATTACAGGTATTCCTGGAGATGAGCGGGGTGGCAGCTGCGTGTCAGAAGTGTTATCTATAGCAGAGCTAAGACCTGTTCAGGATGGCTTTCTACATCCTTCTATGAGATTTATAGTCTGAAAATTTTCTGGAGGGTCAGCTAAAACTTGCCTCCAACTTGAAGGCACAGAATAACAACAATATCTAAGAATCTAGCTCTAGATCCTGAAGGTTTTGTATTAGTTCCCAATTATAATTTTCCTTTTAAATCATTGACCTATTTGGATTAGTTTTATCTATGATATGAGTTTTATGTTGAAGGTCATTTTCCTGTTTTTTTCTTCTGGATATGCAGTTGCACAAGACCATATGTAGGAATGCTCCCTTTTTTCCTACTGAATGGCTTTCTCCTTTTGCCATAAACCAGCAAGGTATGTTTTGCTGGTCTCCTCACCAAACTGGGAAAAGGGCAGTCTAGCAAAACCAGTATCTGCTTCAAAATCTAAAACAAGAGAGTGGGGACTTGGTGGTCTATCGGTTGTATCTGGGATGTCTGCATCAGAGCCTCACTGCATCTGGATGTCTGCTTCAAAGCCTAACATAGTAATAATGATTGGTGACTGGAATGCGTAAGTTAGAAATGAGGAAGGATTGTTTGTTGGAAAGTATGGTCTTAGTGTCAAATGAGGCTGAACATTGAATGACTGAATTTTGTATATTTGATGATTTATTCATTGCAAATTCATTTTTAAAAAAATACACTAAAGTGGTCTTTACACAGGGACCTCACCTGACAGACTGCACAAGAATCAGACTGACTACATCTGTCAAATGGCTCATTGGAAAAACTCTATCTCAGCAGTCACAGGCAGGCCAGATGCTGATTGTGGAGTAAACAATCACTCACATTCAAGTTCAAATAAAGCTAAAGAAGATGAAAACAAGTCCACAAGAACAAAAATACAACCTTGAGTCTTTCCCACCTGGATTTAAAAGTCGTCTCCAGAATAGGTGTGAAGCATTGAACATTAATGATTGAAGACCAGATTAAGTTTTGGGATAAAATAAAATATATCATCTGTAAAGAGAGCAAAAATTATTACAAAGACAGAAGATGAAGAAAAGACCAAAACAGATATCAGAAAAGACTCTGTAAAACCAGTAGAGAGGCCAAAACAAAGGGAAGAAATGCCAAAGTCAGAGAGATGACTAGTAGATTTCAAAGGAGAGCTAGCAAAGACAAAAATATTATAACAATGTGCAAAGAACTGGAGCTGGAAAATAAAATGGGAAGAACTCATTCAACATTTCATAAGTTTAAAGAACTGAAAAATTCAAATACTGAGTTGTAAAACTAAGATACTATGGGCAAAATCTTGAATGATCCAGGAAGCATCAAAAGTAGATGCAAAGAATACACAGAGTCACTGTACCAAAAAGAATTTGACACTGAAAATTTCAGGGAGTATCATGTGAACAAGAGCCAATGGCAGTGAAGGAAGAAGTTCAAATTGAACTGAAGGCACTGGCAAAAAATAAGGCCCCAGGAATAGAAGGAATACCAGTTGACACAGGTGCAGTCCTCCCCCATAGATGTTCTCACCCATCTATGCCAGGAAATTTGGAGGACAACTACTTCGTCAACTGACTGGAAAAAACCCATATTTTTTTATATCCCAAGAAAGGTAGTCCAACAGAATGTGGAAATTATTGAACAATATCATTACTATCCCATGCAAGCAAAATATTGTTGAAAATCATCAAAAAATGACTAGAACAGTACATTAACAGAGAATAATCAGAAGTTCAAGATGGGTTTAGAAGAGTCCATGGCTTCAGAGGTATCATTGCTGATGTCAGATGGATCCTGAAAGCAGAGAATACCAGAAGAACTTCTATGTGTGTCTTACTGATTATGCAAAAGCATTTGACTATGTGAATCAAAACAAACTATTGCTAACAATGAGAAGAATGAGAATCCCAGAACACTTAATTATATCTAGACCAAGAAGTAGTTGTCTGAAAAAAAAAAAAAAAAGAAGTAGTTGTCTGAACAGAGCAAAGTAACACTGCATGGTTTAAAACCAGGAAATTTGTATCCTTTATTACTAACTCATCAATCTATGCTGAGCAAATATTTGAGAAGCTGGACTCTATAAAAAAAATGTGGCATCAGGATTGGAGGAAATACCATCAATAATCTGTGTTATACAGAAGACAAAACCTTGTTTGCTGAAAGTGAAGAAGACTTGACACATTTGCTACAGAATATCAAAGACCACAGCCTTAAATAGATTACATCTCATTATCAGAAGACAAAACTCCTTACCACAGTACCGATAAACAACATCGTGATAGATGGAGAAAAGATTGAAGGGTGACAGAAGAACATCGATGCATTTGAGCTGTGATGTTGGAGAATGCTGACTATCCCATGAACTGTGAAAAGAACAAACAGATACATGTTTGAGAAAGTACAACCAGAATGTTCCTTGGAGGCAAGGCTGATGAAGCTTCGCATCGCACATTTTTGACATGTTAGGAAAGGTTTTCCTTAGAAAACGATATTATGTTTGGAAAGATGGAGGGTCAGTGAAGGAGAGAGGGACCCTCGAGATGAGTTGATGTTAGGGATGATGAGGGTGGTGTTGAATAGGACAGAGTTCAGACCTGTTGTTCATGGGGTCACAGACCCATCTTCAACTCGATGGCGTATAGCAGCAACAACTACCTACTAGAATTCATGCTAAAATGATTTCAATTTAGTGGAATCCTCCTTTTGGTAGTTCTGGGTTTAAGGCTCTCTAGTACCCTGCATGAGAAGCAGGAGGAGGAAAGAAACCTAGGGAACTCATTGTCATTATATTCAAGACTCTAGCTTCACTTTCTACTGTTTACCTTTCATTCTTTTAATGTTTGCATGGTTGTTATTGTTGGGTGTTGTCGAGTATGACTCATAGAGACCCTGTGAACAGCCAACCTGATACTCATCCTAGCCTGTGCCATCTTCTCCATCTCCGAGATATTAGAACCCGATCCTGAAGTCACAGTGTCAGTCCATCTTGTTGGGGGTCTCCCTCTCCCTCACTGAACCTTAGTCTAAGCATCATGTCCCTTTCCAAGGAATAGCCTCACCTAGCTACTTGTACAAAGTATAAAAGACAAAGCTTCGTCATCCTCGCCTCCAAGGAGCCTTCTGGCAGCACCTCTTCCAGACATATCTGTTTGGGTTTTTGGCATTCCATGGGATATTCAGTACTCTTCTTCAGCACCACAACACAAAGGCATCAATTCCTTGCTACCCATAATCCCCCTCCAGTTCTCTACCAGGCGATTGAGAAGACCATGGCCTGTATCAAGCACACCTAAGTCCTCAAACTGACACCATTGTTCCACAGTATTTTGGAGAGATCCCTGACAGCTGACTTGTCCAGTAAACTATGTCTCCTGATTTCCTGACTACTGGTACCATGGTGTTGATTGTTCATCCAAGGAAAATGAAACCATTAACAACTTCAGTCTTTTCTCCATCTAACATAAGGTTTTCAGAGGGAGAACTAGGAAGGAAGAGTGTGTGTGTGTGTGTGTGTGTGTGTGTGTGTGTGTCCCTCTCTCCTCCCCTTTTTCTTGTTGTGTACTGTCAAGTCAGATCTGACTGGCACAGGAGGAGATTGCCCCTCCTTCTCCAGCACAGCATTTGGTGGAGTTACCCTATAGGACAGAGCAGACCTGCTCCATAGGATGTCCACACATGTCATTTGCACATGCAAATGACCACAGCTTTCTCCTGCGGAATGACTGGTGAGGTCCAGCTGTTGAACTTTCGGTCCAACCTACATAGATTTTGTTTCATTAGCTCTAGAATAGGACTAGGGGAGCTTTGGTGGCCTAGTGGCAAGAAGCTGCACTGCAATCCCAAAGGCTCATGGTTCAAGTCCACCAGCTGCTCCATGGGAGAAGGCTGGGCAATGGGCAATCTCTTCCCATGTGATTAACTGCTTCTGAAAATCTGTTGGAGTGAGCTATGAGTCGGTTCTGGCTCAGTGGTACCAAACACAATAGCATTAAAGCATGTATTATCTGTTAAGTTTTCTAGGTGATTCTGATGCACTCTCAGGTTTGTGAACCACTGCGTCAGATGGCCTAACATTCCATATAGATCCATATGCTGTTCAGACTAAATGAAACCAAATCCATTGTCATCAAGTCAATTCTGATTCATAGCAACTGTATAGAATAGACATTTCCTGTGGAGTTTCTAAGGATGTGAATCTTCACGGAACTATATTGCCACATCTTTCTCCCACAGAGTGGCTGGGAGATTCAAACCACCAATGAAATCGGGAGTGTTTGCGGTGTATTGGTGTTAGAAGAACAGTATAAAGCTTGTGTAGTAGTATCAAAACTACGTTTGAATAACAGTGGCCACTAGGTGAGGGAGATGAAATTATAATTTGAACTTTAGTCATTGTCACTTCAATTAAAACATTTTCAGAGAGCAGGGAAACACTGCATGGTTCAAAATTGGGAAGGGCGTATGCCAGGGATGTGTCCTGTCTCCTTACCTTTTCAACCTATATGCAGAACAGATTATCCGGGAAGCTGGGCTCTATGAGGAGAAGTGTGGCATTAGGATTGGTGGAAGATCTATCAACAATCTGCGTTATGCAGATGACACAACCCTGCTTGCTGAAACTGAGGAGGACCTGATGCACTTGCTGCAGAGGGTCGAGGACTGCAGCCTTCAGTATGGATTGAGGCTCAATGTCAAGAAGACAAAGATTTTCACCACTGGACCAATTGGCAGCATCAGGATGGATGTTGAAGAGATTGAGATTGTACACAGCTTTAGTTTGCTTGGCTCCACAGTCAACACTCTTGGCACCAGTAGCCAGGAAATTAAAAGATGTATTGTGATGGGAAAGTCTGCTGTTAGGGACCTTTCCAAAGTTCTGAAGAGGAGTGGTGTCTCTCTGGAGACTAAGGTGCGTCTGATACAGGCCATGGTCTTCGCAATCATCTGTTATGCATCAGAGAGTTGGACAATGACCAAGGATAGAAGGAGAATTGATGCCTTTGAGCTGTGGTGCTAGAGAAGAGTATTGAGGGTACCATGGACTGCTAGGAAAACAGATTCATCCTGGAGAGGGTTAAACTGGGCTGCTCCTTGGAGGCAAGGATTCTGAGACTTCTTCTGACATACTTTGGTCATGTTGTAAGGAGGAGGGACCGGTCCTTGGAGAAGGACATCATGCTTGGGAGGGTGGAGGGACAGTGCAGTAGAGGAAGGCCCTCTATGAGGTGGTCGCTGTGAGTCAAAAGCGACTCGATGGCACATAACAACAACATAAAAACAATATTAAATATTTTTTTTAAAAAACTAATGAGAAAGATGATTCTCAGTCACCTAAACTGGCAGCGACTACAGCAGTGCATTCTAACATGGCACCAACTCTAGGGTTAGCACAGGACTGGGCCATGTTTTGCTCTTCTAGGTCAGGTCACTGTGAGTTGGAACTTACTTAGCTACCCCCACGCAACAGCTTTTCTCTTCTGTTGTTCTTGAGATGGGTTAGCTGTGGAGCATGACCTCGGTCAAACCAGGAACCTCCAAACACTGAAGAATTACAGCTATTTTTAATACCTTTTAATCAGTGGTCTTTTTGTGCATTTTGGTAAACGTCAATTGAACTTGGGATATTTCTTTATGAGCTAGTAAATCTTTTGAGGAAAATCTGGCTCAAATTAAATTCCCATTGAAAAAAATCGCTAGTGCTTTTCAATTTCTCAACTGCACATTAATCATTACTGAATGTTAATAATAGTGATTTTACTAGGCTCCAGTGGAAGTCATGGTAAGAGAACAGAGTGTGGACAGTTTATTAGGGAGAAGTCTGCACCCATCCCAGTTACCAGCTGTGCTTTGAAGTTGTTCTAATGTCTGTCAGACATCTGTGTAACTACCTGGCAAAGCTCCCAAACCAGAACCAAACCCATTGCCTCTGGTCAAATCCATTCCAACTCACTGTGACTCTAGGACTTCACAGAACTGCCTCCAAGGACTTCCACATCTTCACAAAGGCAGACTGCCTTGTCTTTTTCCCCATGTTGCAGCTGGTGGATATGAACCACTGGCCTTTTGGTTAGCAGCCGAGTGCCTGAACTACAGCCCCCATGAAACATCACCACCAGCTCACAGATAACTTGGTGTGGTGGTGGTATAAAAGTTGGCTTTTCTAACCATTACGTTAGTTCCCCTGGTCTCCAGCTACCTTAGCCATAGACACATTGGCCATGCAAATCACCAAGAGTTGTGGGATTATTATAATAGAGAGAGTTCTCCACACTGTAGAGCAAGACCCCAGAGTTGACGGTGGTAAGGTACAACCTGCATTTGTGCTGCCCATAGTTAAAGTTTCTTCTTACTGGGTGATTGAAAGAGAAGCTTACTAGTAACTGCTCTGTGGCAAACTTTGCTGGATTATTTGTATTTGTGCTCCTGAACTTAACCAGGACTTTCATGAATTACGGACTTGTGTTAAGCTGGCTTGGAATTGTTGGATTTGCATTGAGTGATATTCTTTGCCTTATCCACTCCCCAACCTGGTTCCCTAATGAACCCCACTCTCAGTAACACAACTGTGAGTAAAATTTGTGAGGCAACAACGATATGAGACTTGAATGATTGGTAGAAAGAGGTGCAGGGATCTGGGAGGTGTCACGTCTGACCATGCAGCTGTCTGTCTGCTATGGATATTATTGAGGAGGACAGTTCTCCTTTACAAAGCAGAAGTCAGACTGTTCCAGACACGCTTCAGAACTGTTGAGGCACCGTTTAGAAGCAGGTCTGTCTGTGCACTAGCTAGAAATGCCTTCCTGTCATCCCAGGCAGGGCAGCAGGATCCTGTGGAGCTGCAGAGGCAGCAGCAGGCCAAGAGGAGGGCCCTGGCCCGCAGGCGAGCCCGGGAGCAGCTCCGGCCACGCACACCCGAGCCAGTGGAAGGCAGAAAACACATGGACGTGCAAACAGGTGTGTTTATCACGCTGGCTTTCAGTCTTCTTGGGAGTTGGTTTTCACTGGGCCTTTGCTGTATCACTCATGTATCTCCCATGCTTCCCCAGCCACTTGGAGGGATACTATATGTTACTACACGGGGTTAGGCAGGTAGTGTGGGCCATGCCATGCCCTATTCTCAGAGAGGGATCATTTATCACTTTTTCTCTTCATTCTACAACATGAATTCTTTTCATCAGGACCTTGAAGAGGGCAGGCCAGTGTGAAAGAGAGACCCAGTCCATTCAGGCATTTTATTCGGGCCTCTTACTGAGACCCTGTCCACTTCTCCCATTCCACTTCACTTTGTCCACTCCCCAGGGCCCTGTGCCAGCTTCTTCCTACTTGTCTGTGTATAGACACAGGTCTGGACAAGGCTCCACAGTGCTGACAAAATCTCACCATCAAGCTGTACTGGAGTTTTCTTTGGATCCGTGTAGGATTTCTCAGATAGTTACCTGAGATCCACTCACCGCGGTGGCAGGGTGGTAAGTGGGGTGAGAGGAAGATCAGTCCCCTCTTCTCCTTGCCGTGAATCTGTGCATACTTGTGATTATTGTTGTGTTTCATAGAATCAGAATCAAGTTGTAACTGACCTTCTGGTGGTTTTTCCGAGGCAGCTAACCTGCATGGGAGGAGATTGCCCATCTTTCTTCCATGAAGCAGCTGGTGGAGTCGAGCCAAGTGCCTTTGCACTGTCAGTGCAGTTCTTCACCACTGCAGCACCACAGCCAGTCAGATCTCCGAGTTAGGCTTCATGCTTAAATGATGCCATTAGAATAAGAAATGGGATAAGTAGCAGTCACCTTTTGCTATTTCTATAATTTTACTGTTCCTGTGTATTTTCTTTTATTGCTACAAAGACTCAATGGGATAGGTCATTATCACCCCTCTTAAAGATGGAGAAGCCCAGAGAGGCTATCGCTTGACCCTATCACTTTTATCTGCCTCCTATAAGCTAGTCCTACAATGAAACTTAGATGTTTTTGATCTGTCAGAGAGAGAGCCTCAAGTAAGAGATAAGAGCGTGCATGCCTTTTTAAAAATAGCCAGAAATTTGTTCTGCATTAATCATCTTAGGACTCAAGCATGCACATATATTGTTAGTATCCCCTCCCTGATTATCTCACTTCTGTTAAACACTCCTGTGCTGCAGTCTTTTGCAGTTCTATTTTCATACACGGAGCTTCTAGGCAGTCAGTGGATGTTATATGGGCCTCCAGACAGATAAAAGCCCTCCAGTCAGTGTGTCACTAGGCCTCTGTGCTTAAGCACTTTCTCAGACTTCTTTGCAGATGCATTTAATTCTACTTAAAAGCTGAAGCTTTCAGGTTTACATCTGTACTTGAAAGAGCTGAGAATTCCAATGTCATTGTCTGTGGTATCCTTCTTAGAATTATATCTTGAGGAAATTGCCGACCGCGTAATAGAAGTTGATATGGAATGCCAGACAGATGCATTTTTGGACAGACCATCAACACCACTCTTTATTCCTGCCAAAACTGGCAAAGATGCGGCCACCCAAATACTTGAAGGAGAGGTAAGCTACATATTGTGGGCTTTCTCTTGTGTTTTAGAAATGAAGTAAAGTTAGGTTTAGTTAAAAACTTAATAGGGGCTGAAATCATTTTATCAGCAGAAAAATCCCCGTTACTGGATCTAATGTATATGATATTGATAATGGTTTCTCCCTCTCCACCAACTCACCCGCAGTGCTGGAAGTGTTTTTAAATGCTGTGTTTTGGTTTCTTCTCTTTGCTAATTAGGAAATCATTACAAATGTTTTAGAATACACAAACATTTGATTTGTTTATTTACACACTGCTCATACATGTGTTGTAGGTATGTTGTTGATGTTTAACTGTCTGGTCAGAATCAACCCATAGCTGACCTCCAGCAGGTTTTCAAAGGAGTTAATCTCATAGGAGGAGATTGCCCATCCTTCTCCCACAGAGCAGCTGGTGGATTAGAACTGCGTGCCTTTGGGATTGCAGTGCAGCTTCTTGCCACTAGGCCACCAGTGCTATTTGTACTAAATAAGGAAAAATAACATCCCAATATAAACAATGTCCCTGTTAATTGCTTGTGGAATACTCAACTTTTTTGAAGACAAACTCTGCTAACAATAGCCTTAGAATAAGTATCTTTTGATCAATGTAATATGCATAAATAGGACAACTAATGAAACTGATGAATAGATGGAAATGGTTATATGCATCATGACCTAAATGGTTACAAATTTAAAGAGCTTTAAAGAACTGTCGCTGAAAGAAAATGATACAGGAGAGAGTATTTGCCTCTGAATCTCCCAGACATCCATGTGTCTTGTTCCTTGGCTCCTCAGACTTGATGAAAACAATAAGTAGGAAAGAAAGGCTGTTTCTCTCAAGTGTGATCTTGAGATGACCCAGTGTGAGGGCTGGTCATGTTGGCCTTTGTGCCTTTGACTTGGTAGTTTTGCCTCAAAACACAGGGCTGCTGGGTGCCAGTCTCCGCCCCCCTGCCCCTGCCAGGCCCGGAGCTGCCTGTGAGCGTCAGAGACCCGTAGGCAGCACCTGTGCTGGGTGCCCTCCTCCCCAGGCCCGAAGCTGCCTGTGAGTGTCAGAGACCCGTAGGCAGCACCTGAGCTGGGTGTGGCGTGGAGACAAACAATGCTTGTACTCCTGCTGATTTTCTTTCTCTTTCTTCATTGGGAGCTTAGCTCATGGTTAACCTACTCCTGTTGAGCCTACAAGACAGGGTGGAACTCCTCTCTGGGTTTCCAAAGGGGACATCTTTCTGGAAGCCAATTACCATACCCTGCTTCTATAGAGCAGCTGCTGAGTTCAAACTATCAACCTTTTTAGTTAGCAGCCAAGTGCTTAAGCACTGCGCCACCAGGGCTCCTTGTAAATTGCTGAGGAAACTGTTAAGCCTCTGATTTGTGTGTTTAAGCTCTTTGACTTTGATCTGGAAGTTAAGCCAATGCTGGAGGTTTTGGTGGGAAAGACCATCGAGCAGGCTCTCCTGGAGGTCATGGAGGAAGAGGAGCTGGCCCACCTGAAGATCCGCCAGAATGAGTACGAGGAGCTTCGCAACATCGAGCTGGCGGAAGTCCAGCGCCTGGAGGAGCAGGAGAGGAGGCACCAAGAGGAGAAGGTACAGGCTCGCGGCTGCTCTCATTGACAACAGCCTTTAGCTGGTTAGCAAACCATAGTCACGATTACACACACTGTGTTGCAAAGCTAAGGATCTTTGGAAAGATGTTAGAACAAAGGCTGGCAGCACACTCTGACATGTAACGCATCCTGCCCTGTGGCACGTCCTGACCTGTCCTGTTCTGACCTACGACACATTCTCACCTGTAGCATGATCTGACCTGTCACGTTCTGGCCTGTCATATTCTAGGCTGTGGCCAGAAGTGGCCTGTAGCGTGTTCTGGCCTATGACACGCTCTGACCTGTGAAATGTTTTCGCCTGTGGCGCGTTCTGGCTTGTGGCACCTCCTGACCTGTCATGTTCCGGCCTTTGTCATGTTCTGACCTATGACACATTCTCTGACCTGTCACGTTCTGGCCTGTGTCTTATTCTAGGCTGTGGCCAGAAGTGGCCTGTAGCATGTTCTGGCCTATGACACTCTCTGACCTGTGAAATGTTCTAGCCTGTGGCACATACTGGCTTATGGCACATTCTGGCTTGTGGTACTGCAAAAGGAGCAGATGCAACATGGGAGGTGGAGTCTGACTTCTAGCCACTTCATAAAGGGGACAGTCCACATCGATAACATCTACAGCTGCAAATGGACAGCTGCTAGGCCAGACACACCACCCCCATCTCCTGCACCTATTTCCACCAATCACGAATTCCAGTATTCATTGTTGACGCAAAGGCTTTACTCACAATGTGGTACCAAGAGTGGGGTTTACTAGGGAAATAGGTTGGGGAGTTGGAGAGGCAAAAAAATATCTCACAGTGCAACTCCAGGTTTAGTCCAGCAGTTCCAAGCCAGATTAACAGCAAAACATAATTCCTTATTTAGTAAAAGTCCTGGTTTCAGTTCAGCAACACAAATTCAAGGAGCCTCTGGTTTTTTCAATCATTCAGCAAGTTTTACCTCCGAGTAGTAAAAAGCCAGCTTTTCCTATTATCATCTGCCAAGAATAGCAAAACCTTTAACCGTGGCCTTTATCTCAAGGCTTCCCTGGTTACACCTTGCCACAGTTTCTCCACAGCAATGTCACAGTCCATGACTAGGGTCCATGATTAGGGTCTCGTTCTCACGAGGGTCTTATTCCACTCTCCCTCAAGTCTTGCTACTTATTGTGGGAAGCACTTTCTCTCTTACCCTCGTCCCACAGATGTTGATGATTTGCAAGACCAAGTATTTGCAGTTAAGACAGTTGGAGATCAGAGGGTGCTAACATAATGGCTAGAAAAGCCAACTTTTTAAAGCAAGCATCGCAGGTACATTCTGGCCTGTGGAGCGATATGGCCTGTGACATGTTCTGACCTGTGGCACATTCTGTTTGTGCCTCCCATCTTCTCTGAACAAAGCTTTCATGCACTGAATTCCATGTGATAACTTCACATATGTATATGTGCCTAAATTGAGTTTCTAAGAGTTGCGTTGAAATCACTGAAGTCTCGTACATCTGCAGTGGAAATTCACTGCCTTTTAGTCCAACAACTCTCTTCTATCAGATTTCTGAGCTGTAAATTGAAACAGGAGGAGACTCTTTCTCCCTCAGAGCTGCTAGTGGATCCAAACTGAAAGAGACTTGCAGACTTTGGGTTAGCTGCGCAGTGCACTGTAGACTACACCTTCAGAACTTCCTTCTGAGATGGAAGGGACCCCAGAATAGGAGATGGCCAGAGGTATTTCTTTATACCTTGGTTTGCCAAAAGTCAGTGACAGGGAAGATAGATGGAAAGGAAACCTGGTAGGTCTTGGGAATGGCTAGAGGTAGGAAGCAAAAGATTTAGGTGGAATCTAGGGGTCAGTTAGTTCCCCAGGGCCAGAACACACCCCACAATCTCTGCTTTTGTAGACTCATCTATAGGGTATAGGTGTTTAGAACCTTCAGTAGGGAGAATTTTAAAACCCAGTTTCTACAGTATGCCCTTCAGCTACTAGTGAGGGTGCAGGTGATGGATCTGACTTGGAGACTCATCTGATTCTGTCATTGATTGTCACCCTGTATGTGCACACTGAACGAACAGATGTCAAGACCGTGCCTCAGTGCCTGAGAGAAGATCGTTTCCAAATGGCTTGACTCACTGTGGAATGTAGTCCCAGGAAGTCCAACTCAATCCCGAGTCAAATGAACTTTAGATTTCCCTCTGAAATGTACAAGTCAGTAATTGTGTGAAGGGCATGGGCCCCTCTGGTAAGGCTTATGCAAATCAAGATTATCACCTTACAAGTACAGACACTGACCAGAAAAATCTTGTTGAAATAAGCAGTGAACCCTTATTTCTTTGCTTACTACTAGATATATATTATGAAACTAAATGAAAGCTCTCAGTCATCTAGTCTTGAATTTGCTTAAATCTTGAAAATGGTTTTAGCTTAAAAATATACTAATTACATGGAGAAGACTGTTCACTTTATTGATACTTTGGCTGCTACGTAATGCTTTATTTAGCAACCACAGAAAATAGGAAATTCTTATTGTCTTTAGAATCCCTTAAGCTTTATGAATTCAAAGAATTATCCCAAAGATCTTGACTCATTGACTCATCTCTAATTGGACATGTTAAGAGGGACCATTCTTTCCAAAAGGACATGATACTTGGAAAGGTTAAGGGTCAGCCAAAGAGAGGAAAACCAGCCACCAGGTGGCTTGATGCACTGGCTGCAGCAGTAAGCCCCTATGTGTCAGAGCTGATGAGGACGGCACAGGACGGGTCAGATCCACTGTTCATAAGGTCATTAGCACCAGTAATAACACAACGGTTTTCATAGTATGTCTTTGTGATGCTAACAGTTAAAAGGACATATAATTCTTTGTCCTTTGATACCATCCATACAATCAGTGTGTTTCTTAAAATTATTTCTTGAAAATAGTGGTGTGGACTGGGCGGGGAGATTGTATAAAAAAGTGAAAGAATTTTTTTTTTCATATTCAAAGAGAAAAGTGAATGGGGAGGGGCAGGGTGGGCAGGGAGGAAAGTGCAACAATGAATGAATGGAAATTAAAAAAATAAATAAATAAAATTTTAAAAAAGAAAATGGGTCAGATGACAGATGAATTTGTACCTGAAGTTCTGTCTTTTACACCTTTCCAAATTCAGCATTCATTAGTTGTGGAAATTCATGAAATTAAATTAAATTCATTAAAATCTTGGTGGAATAGATGTCAGCTTGCTGTCAGTTTCCCACCCAAATCCATGGCGACCGTGTCCCCACACGTTTACGTGGCCCGTGCTGATGCTGTCAGGGACGCCACGGCTCAGGAGCAGTCCGATCTGATGATGCTCTTCCCCCGGCAGGAGCGTCGGAAGCGTCAGCAGTGGGAAATTGTGCACAAGCAGACGGAGACGGCACAGAAGATCGCCGCCCGGGCCTTTGCTCAGCGCTTCCTGCGTGACCTTCTTCCCTCTGTGTTTGGCAATCTCAGGGATGGCGGCTACTTCTATGATCCCATCGAGAGAGGTTTGTGCGGATGTGGGCAGGTGGAAAGGAGTGCACTCACACATAAGTGTCAGGTGATACATCAGCATGCACTCAGTAGACACCGTCAGTACATGTGTGTTTGCAGTGGAGCAGAGGCTTCCGAACATAACCAATACCCTGAGGGATATGCTGCTGGTCCTAGAGCCTTACTTTCCCAGTGCTGTACGTTTCCTCATCTCCTGACTGCTGAGACCAAGCGTGTTGATTGTCGATCCACGTAAGATGCAATCAATCATTGACAAAACTTTTCTTCATCTATCAGGATGTTGTCTGTTGGCCCCTTGGTGAGAATTCTTGTTTTCTTGACGTTGAGATGCAGTCTACATTATAGACTGTAGTCCTTGATCTTCTGCAGCAAGTGCCTCAAGTCTTCCTTGCTTTCAGCAAGCAAGGTTATGTTGTCTACATAATGCAGGTTGTGGATTAGTCTTCCTCCAATCCTGAGGCCACATTCTTATTCATAAAGTCTATTGTTGTTGTTGTTGTCATGTGTCATCGAAGCACCTGTGACTCACACCAACCTTATGTACAACAGTCCTAAACTCTGCTCTATCTTGTACCAATCTCATTGTCTCTGACATTTACCCCCATAACCCCAGTCACTGAATCAATCCATCTCATGAAACATCTTCCTCTCCTGTGCTGTCCATCCACCCTCCCAAGTATGACATCGCTTTCCAAGGACTCGTCCCTTCTTGCAACATGTCCAAAGTATGTCAGATGAATCTGCAGAATCCTTGCCTCCAAAGAGTAAACTGGTTTCATCCTCTCTGGGATGAACCTGTTTATTCTCTTAGCAGTCCATAGTATATTCAATACTCCAATACCACAGCTCAATGGTATCAATTCTTCTTCTATCATCCCTAGTCATTGACCAGCTTTCTGATGCACAGCAAGTGATTGTGTCAGGCGCACCTTAGTTTCCAGACTGACATCGTTCTTCAATAATCTGGAGAGGTCTCTTACAGCAGACTTTCCCAATGAAATTCATCTTTTGATTTCCTGGCTGCTGGTTCCAAGAGTGTTGATTGTGGAGCCAAGCAAACTAAAGCTATGAACAATCTCAGTCTCTTCACCATCTTTCATGATGCTGCCAATCGGCCCAGTGGTGAGAATCTTTGTTTTCTTGATGTTGAGCTTCAATTCATATGGAAGGCTGCAGTCCTTGACCTTCTGCAGCAAATGCCTCAGGTTCTCCTCAGTTTCACCAAGCAGGTTTGTGTCATCTACATAACACAGATTGTTGATGAGTCTTCCTCCAATCCTAATGCAACATTTCTCCTCATAGAGCCCAGCCTCCCAGATAATCTGTTCTGCATATAGGTTGAAAAGATATGGAGACACAACACATCCCTGGCATGAACCATGCAATGTTTCCATGCTCTGTTCTAACGACTGCCTTCTGGTCCGAGTGTAATTTTAGCATAAGCACTGTCAAGTGTTCTGGGATTCCCATTCTTCTTAGAGTCAGCTACAGTTTGTTGTGGTCCACACAGTCAAATGCTTTTGCATAGTCAATGAAACACAGATAGACATTCCTCTGGTACAACTTGCTTTCAGCCAAGATCTATCTAACATAAGCTATAATATCCCTAGTACTACGGCCTCTTCTAAACCCAGCCTGCACATCTGTCAGTTCTCTGTTAATGTGCTGTTCCAGTTGCTTTTGCATAATCTTCAGAAGAACCTTGCTTGCTTGTGATATTAATGATATTATTTGATTATTTCCACATTTTGTCGGATCACCTTTCTTTGGAATGGGAACATATATGAATCTCTTCCAGTCTATTAGCCAGGTGGTTTTCCTCCAGATTTCTTGGCACAACTTGGTGAGCACAATTAGGACAGCGTCTGTTTGTTGAAATATATCAATTGGTATGCCATTGATTCCTGGGGTCTTGCTCTTTGCCAATTCCTTCAGAGCAGCTTGAACTTCTTTCATTGTCACAGGCTCTTGCTCATATGTTGTCATGAAATTCTTCTGTGTCTGCCAATTCTTTTTGGTACAATGACTCTGTATACTCTTTCTATCTCCTTTTAATGCTTCCTGGGTCATTTAATATTCTGCCCAAAGCATCTTTAAGTATTATAATTAGAGGCTTGAATTTGTTCTTCAGTTCCTTGATTATAAGACATGCTGAGTGAATTTGGCCCCTTTGATTTTCTGACTCCAGCTCTTTGCACATTTCATTATGATACTTTGTCTTCCCGTGCTGCCCTTGGAAACCTCTGTTAAGCTCTTAATCTTTATTTCTTCCCTTTGCTTTGGCTTTTTGGCACTCGAGTGCAATATTCAAAGTCTCTTCTGACATCCGTCTTGGTCTTTTCTTCCTCCTCTGGTTTTGTAATCTAGATTATAAAATAATTTGCTATAATAATCCTAGTACCATGACCTCTTCTAAATCCAGCCTGCACATCTGGCAGTTCTCTGATGACATATCGTTCCAAACATTTTTGGATAATTTTCAGCAGAATCTTGCTTGCATGTGATATCAATGATAATGTTCGATAATTTCCACACTCTGTGGGGTCACCTTTTTTTTGGAATGGGAACAAATATCGATCTCTTCCAGTCAATTGGCAGCTGGCTGTCCTCCAGATTTCCTGGCACAACTTAGTGAGCACATCCAGGGCAGTATCTGTTTGTTCAAATATGTCAGTTGGTATGCTGTCAACTTCTGGAGCCCTGTTTTTTGCCAGTTGCTTCAGAGCAACAACTTGAACTTTCTCCTCCATCACCATAGGCTCTTGCTCATATGTTATTTTCATTAAATTCCTCTGTGTCAGCCAATTCCTTCTGATACAGTGACTCTGTGTACTTGTACTCCTTCCATCTTCTTTTGATACTTCCTGGATTATTTAACATTCTACCCAAACTATCTTTAAGTATTGCCACCCGTGGCTTGAATTTGTTTTTCAACTCCTTCAGCTTAAGAAACACTTAGCGAGTCCAGCCCTTTTGATTTTCTGACTCCAGCTCTCTGCACATTTCATTATAGTATCTTGCTTTGTCGTCCCGAGCTGCCTTTTGAAATTTTCTGTTCAGCTCTTTGATTTATTGGTTTCTTCCTTTAGCTTTGGCTTCTCGGCGCTATAATGCTCATCTGACATCCATCTTGGTCTTTTCTTCTTTTCTTCTTCAGCCTTTGTAATGATCTTTTGCATTCTTCATGGATGATTTTCTTGATATCCTCCCAGAGCTCATTTGGTCTACGCTCATTGGTGCTCAATGAGAGGCCTCAAACCTGTTCCTGAGATGGTTTTGTCTATTTCCTCTTCTTTGACTCTAGTTGTTGGTACATATATTTGAATGTTAGTGGTATTCTCTGTACTTCCTTGTATGCGTATGGATATTATCCTGTCATTCACCACTTTGTATTTCAGGATAGATCTAGAAATGACTTTTTAAATTATGAAACCAACCCCATTTTTTCTCACCTTTTCATCCCCGGCATAGTAAATCATATAACCATCTGATTCAAAATGTCCCAAGCCAAGCCATCTCATTTCGCCAATACCTAGTATGTCAATATTTATGCATTCCATTTCTTTCTTAACAATGTCCAATTTTCCTACATTGATGCTTCTCACATTGCGCGATCCAATCACTAGTGTCTGCTTACAGCTGTTCCTCCTACTCTGTGTTTCCATTTCTAAGATCTCAGTTTCAATTGCCGTGTCTTTTAGTCCAAATGATAGTCTAAGTGTGCTCTATTGTACAGATGGCCTACATAGGAATGAATAAATCAGTTGATTGTATGTTATAGTTAGATGCCATCAAGTCAACTACCACCCACAACAATCCTATGAACAACAGATCTGAGCTCTGCACTCTCCTGCGCCATCCTGTGCTCTACTATGCCCTGCCCTGCACCCTACCCTTCCCTGCACCCTGCCCTGCCCCCTGCCCTGCATCCTACCCTGCCCTGCACCCTGCCCTGCAGCCTGCCCTGCAGCCTGCCCTGCAGCCTACCCTGCCCTGCACCCTGCCCTCTCCTGCACCATCCTCATGATCTCTGCCAGGCTCAAGTCCATGGTGGCAGTCCCTGTATCCATCCATCTTATTGGGGGCCTGCCCCTCCTCTCCTGACTCTTGACCTCTCCCAGCACGATGCCTTTCTCTAAGATTGGCGCCTCCTGATGACAGGCCCAGTTGTGCATGAGAGGACGTTCAGCCGTCATACCTCTCAGGAGCATTCCAGTTGCACTTCCTCCAGACAGCTTTGTTCTGCTGGCCGACCTTTGGCCGTATGAGAGAGGAAGGGCGTCAGCAGATGAACTGGCAGAGTGGCTGCCACAGTGAAGCACAGCAGACACTGCAGGAACGACGGACGATTGGGCTGGAAGTCAGTCTACTGTGTGTTGGGTCTCTAGGAATTAGAAGAGACACCTGCAGCACCTAGTTGTTACGAAATGTAGGTGCTCACACTGTGCCAGGCCCTGTGTTCACTGTGCAGAGTGAAAGAATGAAGACTACAACCAACGCTAGAACCCTGTTAACCTCTCACCTCTCAGCTGGCCCTTAGTGCCCCTTTACCAGTCAGCTGGCCCTTAGTGCCCCTTCACCTCTCAGCTGGCCCTTAGTGCCCCTTTACCAGTCAGCTGACCCTTACTGCCCCTTCACCTCTCAGCTGACCCTTAGGGCCCCTTCACCTCTCAGCTGACCCTTAGTGCCCCTCCAAGCCAACTCTCCTGAACTAATATGCCAGATGGGGGCATCAGACTTCTGAATATAGTTTTTCTGCTGCATTAGAAAAATGACCTGAACATACCTAGCAGAGCTTCTCCCTCCAAAAGCGCAGCCCCTGAAGTCTCCTGAGCATGTTCTGTCACACATGGGGCCACCCCTCTGACAGCGGACTCAGTGGAGATGGGTTTTGTTAACAGGTACTTAGCATTTTGCATTAAGAGCGCAATGTTGATGAACCATTACATTAGGAGAAAAGTGGAGATGCTACTTCTGCAATGATTCAAATAAAGATTATATTGGTGATATAATGACTACGGTTTTATTACAGACATTGAGGTGGAATTCCTCCCTTGGCTGCTGAATGAAGTTGACAAGACCATGGAGCACAGCCTGGTGGGAAGAACAGTGCTGGACAGTAGGTCCTCCTCTTTGCCCTGCACGTCCTCTCTTGATGTTTTCTGTAGAAGCCTAAATCACAGAAAAGACATGTTCATAGTTAGAGTATTTAAACTTCCACTTTGTTAGGTACCTTAACAAAAATGATACATTTTAACCTCAAATTACCTTTGATCTTTCAGTAAGTTGACCAGTATGAAGAGGGATAGTGTCACATTTATAGTCAAAAAGAACAAAATCTGCCCTGAAGTGCAATGGTCAGTGATAGAGTACTATCCGTACAGTTGTTAGATACTATTAGCAACTGTAATTCTCTGTGTCTGATTCAAAATGGTCAATACAATCCCACCTCAGCTCACTAAAGCCTAGATGGTCTTTATAAATAATACTTTACTGAAACTTGATTCAATGGCACTTAATAACACCATCACCACTAACAGCAGAGAGAGAGTGAGAGAGAGCGAGCAAGAGAGAGAGAATGCAATAGGCCTAGTGGACAGAAAGCCATGGTCTCAAACCAAAGGTGGGTGACTCTACTCTGCGGCCCTCAGGCCTGCGTTTAATTGTTTTTGATGAAACATTCTTCTAGGTTCTGTAAACCTTGCCGTACAGAGGTAACTCGTGGTTGCTGTGAAGCTGACCACCGTGACACTGATGTTTCAAATGCAATAACGGTTACCCATGGTGGACAGTGTTTGGTGAATCTCCACGATTAAAACAAGCTTGGAAGCAGGAATGGCATCCACTTCCACAATAGCTTGCTTCTGGAAACCCTATGAACCTGGAAAAAGGACAGAAGTTATACAGGAGGTGTCCAGGACTTCGTTCATAGGGTGGCTATGAGTCGCCTGTGACTCAACAGCACTTAACAACAACGACAACTGAAACAGGCAGAGAGTACAGTTCATATTCAGTGCATTAAGGGGTGTAATGTAGTGGAATGTTAAATGGCCTGACCTTAAACAAAAGGCTACAGGGCAGGGTACAGTCTGGCTCATGTACACCCCTGTGTAAGTCAGAGCGGTAACTACACGGATGAGAGAAATGGTGGTAATCTGTGCTCATCTGTCTTTGCAGTGTTGATCCGAGAAGTGGTGGAGAGGAGACTGAACATGTTTGAGGGTCAGCAGCTGCGTCCAGAAACCCCTTACGGGCTGTATCACTCTGAGGACGTCCCTGGAGGAGACGCTGAGGAGTCACTGGACTACTACAAGCTCCATCATGACCCACGCATGTGGCAGTCCCAGGGGCCCATTGCAGGCCAGCAGTACCTGTCGAGAGTAGCAGAGGAAGAAAGGTACATGGACAGAGGGATACCCGAAGAAAAGAAAAGCCTGGAAGAAGACTTTGTGGGGCCCAGAAACTAACCCTATGATGTGAGAAAATTGCTAGAACAGGACAAGGTGGCACCGCTGTGGAATGCTGTGAAGCCGTGAGGCTCAGCCCCAGCCAGCTCGACCATCCATGTGGTCCCAGTGGTGAGGGAGCTGTGTTTAGTCAGCAGAACCAGCCATATAGCGGACAGGGCAAGCTGGAGAGGAGGAAATAATAAAACTATTAAGAAACTTGAATAGACTGATCTCTTGAATATAGATGATCCAGAAGATATTTTGTGACTCTAATTTGAATACTGTGTAATTATTAATTTACCACCACCATAATCTAGAACAAGCAGATGTATTTCCCCTCAGTTATTATTCTGATTCGGTGAGTTAGTTCTTCTTTAGTAACTATGCTGTTTAATTGTGTTCTTATGAATAACTGGAATATTGTTGGATATAGTGCCAGGAGGTCAGCCCCTCATGTTGGAAGGCACTCAGATATGAGGAGCAACAGCCCCAGACATCTACTTCAAATTGGAACACAAAGTGTGTGAACAGAGGAAAATTGGAATTGTCAAAAAGGAAATGGCATGCATACCGATCTGCACACTAGGCCCTAGGGAGTTGAGATGGACTGATAGTGGATGTTTGGAATCAGATAGTGGATGTTTGGAATCAGACAAACATACGACCTTTTATACCAGGTGTGACAGACTGAAGAGGAATGGTGTCACATTGATCATCAAAAAGAATATTTCTTTAATATCTTTTGTTTCTATTTTTGAATTGTGATCTTAATGAAAGTTTACAGGAAAGCTGGATTTTAATTCATTCATTGCTGCACATTTTCTTTCCTATCCCTCCCAAGTTTACATATGTATGTATGTATGTATGTATGTATGTATGTATGTATGTATGTATGTATTTTCTCACAACGTTCGTATACATCGAGTTTCACAATATTCTTGTTTCTTATTGTGTATCATCAATCATTCCCATGAATTATGTTTTATAAAAAAATCAGTCACCTTTAGACCTTGCCTATCATTAAAAAAATCTTTTTTAAAAATAGATATATTTTTAATTTATTATTTTTGTGTATATACTGTCAAATGGTATCTGACTGTTTCAAGAGGAAATTGTCCCTCCTTCTCCAGCAGCATCTGGTGGATTAAAAATATATATTTTTAAAATATTCATTCATTGTTGCTTAATATCCTCTCTCTTTCCACCCTCCCCCCCTCCCCCAATCCATGTTGTTATGCATCTCTTATTCTGGACTGTTGCAATACTAATAAGGCCTAATCATATATTCCTTTTAAATGGTTCTTTCCTTCATCTGTTCCAGTGCAATGGTCATTATTTGTCCCCTCTTTTCTTAGTTTCTCCCCAACCCCCATGTCAGTCCTGTTTTATAACACTGGTGTTATGCAGTATATGTCCTTTTCTGACTGAGATATTTCACCAGCATAATGTCCTCCAGAGTCATAATGTTGTGTAATATTTTATGCTCTTCTTGTTTTTCAGTGTTGCATAGTATTCCATTGTATGACTATACTACAGTTTTTCTGTTTCCATTCATTTGTTGATGGGTACTTGGTTTGCTTCCATCTCTCTGCTGTTGTGAATAATGCAGTAGTAAACATAAGTGTGCATACATCTGTTTGGGTGACAGCTCTGGTTTCTTTAGGGTGTATCCTTAGTAGTGGAATTGCTGGGTCAAATGTTATTTCTATTTACAACTTTTTGAGAAAGCACCAGACTGCCTTTCATAGGAATCACACCATATTACGCTCCCACCAACAGTGAATAAGGGTTTCAAAGCCTTGCCAACATTTGTTGTTTGCTGCTCTGTTGAACTTTGCTATTGTTACTGGAGTGAAATGATACCTCAAAGTTGTTTTTAACTTACATCTCTCTGAGAGCTAGGGATTTTGAACATTTTTCATGTGTGTGTTGGCCATCTGAATGTCTTCTTTGGTGAAGTGTCTGTTCATATCCTGTGCCCATTTTTCAAGTGGGCTGTTTATCTTGTTGAGGTGCTGGAGTATTCTATAAATTCTAGATAAAAATCCCCTAATTAGATCTGTAATTACCAAATATTTTTTTCCCAGTCTATGGATTTCCTTTTTACCCTTTTGGAGAAGTGCATAGGGATTTGATTCTTAGAGGGGTCACATTCATCTATTTTATTCTTTCCTGGTTGTGATGCTTGGGAGACTGTTAATATTGTAGATTAAGGCTTCTAGAGTTCTTCCAAGCATTCCTCTGATGAAATTTATAGTCCTTGGTTTTACTCCTAGATCCTTAATCCACTGAGTTGGATTTTGTGTATGGTATCAGGTGTGGCTTGAGTGTTCTACAGATAGTTTTACAATATTGCCAACACCATTTTTTAAAGAGGCTTTCATTGCCCCACTTAACTGTTTTTGTCTCCTGGTCAAAAATCAGTTGGCCATAGGTAGATGAGCTGATTTCTGAGTTCTCAATTCTATTTCATTGATCTGTGTGTCTGTTACTGTACCAGTACCATGCCGTCTTGACCACCACCACTGTGAAGTAGGATTTGGGGTCGGGGAGTGAGGTGCCTCCTACCTTGTTTGTCTTTTTTCAGAAGTGCTTTACTTAATTGGGGTCTCTTTCCATTCCAGATAAAATTGGAAATTGCCTTTTCCACCTCATTGAAGAATGGAATTGACATTTGTATTGGGATTGCATTGAACTTATAGATTGCCTTTGGTAGAATTGTCATTTTCACAATATTGAGTCTTCCTAGCCATCAACATGGTATATTTTTCCATTTCTCCAGGTCTCTCTGTTTCTTGTAATGTTTTGTAATTTGCTTTGGATAGGTCTTTTGTGTTTCTGGTTAGATATACTCCAAAATATTTAATCTTGTGGTGAGCTATTGTGATGGGTATTATTTTTCCTAGCTCCATTTCTATGTTCTCTTTATCACTATGGATAAATCCATTTGATTTCTGTATGTTGATCTTGAATCCTGCCACATTGCTGAATTGGTCGACTATGTCCAGTAGTTTTCTCACTTAGTCTTAGGGTTTTCTAAGTATACTACCATATCATCTGCATAAAGAGATAATTCTACTTCCTCTTTGCAAATTTGGATACCTCTTATTTCTTTCACTTGTTTTATTGCTATCGCTAAGACTTCCAAAACAGTATCAAATAGGAAAGGTGATAGTGGGCATGCTTAGTTCCTGTTCTCAAAGGGATTGCCTCTCCATTGAGAATAATGTTGGCTTTTGGTTTTGCATATATACTTTTTACAGTATTGAGGAAATTCCACTCTATTCCTGTTTTGTTGAATGTTTTAATCAGGAAAAGGTGTTGGATTTTGTCAAAGGCCTTTTTTGCGTCAATTGATAGGTTCATGTGGTTCTTGTTCTTTGCTTTGTTAATGTGATGAATTATACTGATTATTTTTAATTCTTATAATAATTATTTTTAATAATTCCTTGCATACCTGTTATGAACACCACCTGGTCATAGTGAATTTTTTTTTATGTACTGTTGGAGTTTATTGGCCAAGATTTTATTGAAGAGTTTTGCATCTGTCTTCATGAGAGTAAGTGGCCTGTGGTTTTCTATTTGGTGGTGTCCCTTAGCTGACTTTGGTATCAAGGATATGTTTACATCATAAAAGGGGTGATGAAGAATTCCATTTTTCTCTATTTTCTGACATATTTTGTATAGAATTGGTGACAGTTCTTCTCTAAATGTTTGATAAAATTCACTAGTAAAATCATCTGGTCCAGGGCTTTTTTTATTGTTGGAAGTTGTGTATTACCTCTTTAGTTTCTTCTCTTGTAATGTGTTTGATCATGTGTTCTATTGCAGGCTGTGTCAGTTTAGTTAGTTTATAAGTATTTGTTCATTTGCTCAAGGTTTTCATATTTGTTTGAGTATAGCTTTTCCATAATATTCCATTCCTAACCTTTTCATTTTAGTTGGTTCAGTTGTGACATTGCCCCTTTCATCTCTTCATCAGTTTATTTGTGTCTTTTCTTTTTTTCCCCCTTTGTTAGTTTTGCTAGTGGTTTGTCAGTTTTATTGTCCTTTTTGAAGAACCAACTCCTGGTCTTGTTGATGGTTTTAATGGTTTTTCTGTTTTCTGTTTAATTTCTTTCTGCCCTAATTTTTATAATTTCATTTTTATTCGAGAGTGTCAGGTTTTCTTGCTGTTCTTTTTCAATTTGTTGGAGATGTTGGGTTAAAGAATCAATTATCATTTTTTCTTCCTTTTTGGTGTGTTTGTTTATTGCTATAAATTGATCTTTAATTACTGCTTTGCCTGTTTCCCAGAGATTTTGGTAGATTGTGTTTTCACTGTCATTTGTTTCCAGGAACTATTTTATTTCATTTTTTATGACATACTTTGGACATGTTTTAAGGAGGGACAGGTCCTTGGAGAGGGACATCATGCTTGAGAAGGTGGAGGGACAGCACAGGAGTGGAAGGCCCTCTATGAGGTGGATTGATTCAGTGACTGGGGTAATCGGGATGGGTGTGTCAGAGGCAGTGCAATTGGCACAGGATAGAGCAGGGTTTAGGGCTGTTGTACACAGGGTCGCTATGAGTTCCAAGAGACTTGATGGCACATAACAACAACATCATTACCTATTCTTGTTCAAGTTGTTGTTCAGCTTCCAAATGTATGTTTTTTTTCCTTTATCATTTTATTAATTTCTCATTTGGTAGCATTGTGGTCTGAGAAGATGCTTTGTATTATTTTTATGCTGCTGTTGTTGTTTTAATTTATTGAACCTTGCTTTGTGACCTAAAACGTGATCTAGTCTGGAGAATATTCCATGCACACTGGGGAAGAAGATATATTGTGCTTTTGGGGGGGTGTATATATATATAAGAGTGAGTTGGTTCTACAATTTTGTTGAGTTTCTTTCTGGAAGTTCTGTCTTTCCTTGAGAGTGGTGTATTGAAGTCTCCTACTACTATTGTGGTATTGTCTATTTCTTTTTTCAGTTCTGTTGATGTTTGCTTTGTATATTTTGCAGCTCTATCATTTG